GCTCAGAATGCAGACAGGAGGCAGGGAAGGGCCTGGCCCAAACCAAGCTGAGACTGTTTGGTGAGGGCAGTGACCCCAGAAGAACCATCTCACAGTCATGCCCCATCCTCAGAGCGCCACGTGGAGGTCCATGAAATGGAAGACATGATCTTGGACTGTCTGCTCACTTGGCACCATATTTCTGAAGGCCTCACAGACTACAAATTTTACAGGGTGGGGCTCTCCAACTCCTGTAACCCTTAAACCCCAAGTCACTCAAGCTGGTATGAGCCCCTGGCCTACACCCAACCCTCATGGCCTAGTAGGTGAGGTCACTCCTGACTCTCAGGCACCCCAAGTCCTGCTTGATGATCCCCTGGATTCCTGTCTTCCTGAGGCCCCTGGAGTTTCTCAGCCCTGTATTTCCCCAATTCCTGGAATCCCCATGCCTCTGTGATACTCTTGAGCTTGTATCCAGGTTTGGGAGAACAATTCTGAGACCTTGCTGTACAAGGGGAAGGAATCAACCCTGACAAAGCCAAGGGTGAGTGAAGCGGATGAAGGCAAATATCGCTGCCAGCTGGACACGGTGAAGTCGGGCCCAGCCACCATCATTTCATATCGTGTCAAAGGTCAGTACTGGGGATAGAGAACTGGGGCCCTGGGTGTTGTTAGAAGGAGGTATACTTAGCTTTGGAAGCTTAACTTCAGATGGGGTTCTGCCTCATCTCATGGCAGGGACAAGGTTCCCTGGGAAGTTTCTACTGGTTGGCCTGGGTACTGGGATGGGCTGGCCATTATCCCTGCCCTGACCATTGACTGTGTCCCTTCTCTGTCAGTGATACCCCCAAATGCCCGTGAAGAGAAACCAGGATCACACATTGAAACGGAGGAGGAGTGGGGGAATATTTCAGTTATCCCAGACCAGCCGGAGACCATCATCACGACCACGACCACCCATTCCTCCGACACTGAGAGTAGGCTGCAAAACATCCTCTTCTGGCTGCTGATCTCCTTCTCTATATTCCTGATAGTAGCACTTATTCTCAGGCGAGTCACTGCAGAGAATGGCGGGGCTTCCTACTGCCCAGTGCTGGAGCAGTTGGCAGAGCCATTGACGTTTCCAGAGAGCTGGTGGGAGTTACAGCGTGGGGGGCTTACCTAGGAGGGCCAGGCGTTGATAGTTGTTTGAATAGGTCAGCTCTGTGGGGCTGGGAGTTGGGGAGTGGCTCTCAACTGCTTTCTACTTAACATGGTTCCATGATTTGCAAATCTCAACCCATTCAATCTCCCTCAGGCTTATTTACTGGCGAAAATCAAAAGAAAAACCAAAGACCTCAGATGAGAGCCTTGAAAATTCACCTTCTTAGCCGTCAAAAGACAAGGGCCTCAAAAGAGAACAATAATTAAATACGTGTCTTGTGGTCTAAGTATTTGACTCAATCCTCTTGACTGAATAATACCTTACGTTCCCCCAGAGGACAGATCAGGAGATGGGCTCCTGCCTCAGGGAGGAGGGTGAGGAACATGGCACCAC